CAGCTAAAAAGATGTAGCAGAGCAAGGGCTAGGTACTGAGTTCCAGAATACAGCATTTACCCCTTCGGCAGAAACGGGACAGGAAATTCTAATAATAAGTCACTAAGCAGTGACCATAAAGAGGTCCTGCCTGTGCTAAGAGCTTCGCAAGCCCAGTCTCAGCGAAATCTCACACAAGCCTATGACACAAGGATCATTGTTATCTCGTCTTACAGACAAGAAGAATCTAAAACTCAGAGAGATGAAGTCACTTTCCCAAGGTCACATAGCTATTAAGTGGCCAAGCCGGATTGAATCTCAGGCCATATGACTTGAGCCCCTGCTGCTAAGGTCGGCCTGACAGAGTTTCTAGGGACTGCAGGTAACAGCGCTAGGTGAACTGCATGCGGGTGGAGACCCAGGGGGACCTGCAAGCTTCCTAAGAGGGAAGTCACCTCTCAAAGGCAACCAACAACTTCCATGGGAAAATGAAGGTCCAGTGCTGTCGGATCTGCCAATTTCTCAAGAGAAGTCAGAAATCTGGTTATCTGCGTGAAAACGCCCAGCTTTTAAACACTGGCAATTGGTTCCTAAGTTGGTTTTAAAACACGATATATAATAGGGATTAAAGAAATTTCACATCCAGATGCAGTGAGCCTTGACTGGATCCCAGTTTGAAACCCCAAGCTCTGGAAGACATTTTTTGGCATGACTGGGAACATTTTAATATGATTGGGTATCTGACGATATGATGGAATTTCCATCCTTCATCTGGGGTGTGATACTGGAATTGCGTTGTTTTGTGGGAGAACATCCTTGTTCTCAGGAGATCCACGCTGAAGTATGTAAGGATGAAGTGTCATGTCTGCAACTGATTTTCGAAGGCTTCAGCCAAAAAACAAAGGAAAAAAGGAGGGAATGAAAGAGGAAGAAAGGGAGAGAGAAAATGAAAATATGGAGAGTACTATAAAGCAAATATGACAAAATTAATGTCATATTTGAACTAATGATTGTTCAATCTAGATTAGTAGTTCTCAGTGAGGGCTGATTCTACCCCCTTGATGACATGTGGCTATGGCTAAGGACTTTTATTTTTTTTACAGTCACAGCTGGGTTGCGGAGCGGGTACTACTGGTACCTAGTGGGTAGAGTCCAAGGATGCTGGCAAACACCCTTCACTGCACAGGACAGCCCCCCACCACCAAGAACGAGCTGGCCCCAAATGTTGGTGGTGCCAGGGTAAGAAACCTCAGAGACTATTCTGGAGTTCGTTCTTATTAGTCTTTCAAGTTTTCTGGTTTTATTTTTGGGTTTTTTTTTTTTTTGGTATGTTAAAAATTTTTAAAAAAAAAAAAAAAAAAAAGAGAAACTTAAAAATAAAATTAAGAATGCATCAATAGCAATACCTTGCAGACCAAACAAAACATGTCTGTGTGGTTTGATAACCACAGCTGGCCACCATTTGCAGTCTGTTCTTCCAATAAATAGTGGCTGGATGTCATGTTGCTATAGTTGGTGGTGTGTCTGGGAAGCTCTTACAATAGCGTGGGCAAGACCCCCACAGCTCTGAGAATTACTGACTTTCTCCTGCTTCTAGTCCCAATCAGCCCAGAAGGAGGTCAGGTCACATGCCCAGGGCTCTGAGCCCGAAAACTGACATCATTGAGGCCTCTCCTGGGATCACACGCGTGCACAGGGTCACAGGAGCATTTGGGGACATGGGGACAGCAAGGGGCTGTAAGTCTTTGAAGGGAGGCTGCGGTCAGACGAAATGAGAACGAGCCCCTCAGCTCCGTAACCCTCACAGCCCAAGACAACATAAATTAAGAGGCTGTAGCCAGCACAGCAGTTTCACCTGGAAGCCACCTTAGACCCTCTCTGAGGCCAAGTTCAGGTGTGCCGCCCCCACCCAACTCACCCTTCAGCCCCTCCAGCCAACAGCTAATGAGCTCGGGCTGTGTCTGGGACTCCAAATGATTCACTGCCTCAACAGGGCAAGATGCATCTGGAGGGTCCTTGGGGCAGCCCCCAGCATCACAAATGCACAGAGAGCCCTATACGTGCAGGCAACACAAAACAGAAAGCAAGTAAGAGAGTCGCACTGGATTAATTCCTCCACCCCCAACCCTGTAAGATAGTCCCAAACTCAAGAACAGTCTTTGTTAAAGCTGAGGCCACTTTTTAGGGGCCATTCAGGGAGGCTGTTAACACATGAGGATTTCTAGGGCTCATCCCAGACCTACATTGATCTGGAATCTCTCCAGACAGAACCATGAGAATGTGCATTTTGCATTTTTAGGAAGGGGCCCCCACCCCCCAGTGCTCGCTGAAACTGAAAACACAGTTGAAACCAGGGGGCTGAGGATTCGCAGTTTCCTGTGTGACCTTGGGCCAGCCACCCAAACTGAGCCAGGATTTTCTCCTCTATAAATGGGAATTAACAACACCTGTCTCATAGTTGGGAGCACTAAATAAGAGGTTTACACGCACATGCACTCACACGCACACACTTGTGTGTGCACGCGCACACCCTAGTACGGTGCCTGGCAAATGTTAGTTCCTTTTCCTTAATAGTGATTGGCCACACACTGGAAAGCCTAGAGAGCTTTACAAAAGTACACAGGCTGCACGCAGCCCTAGAGATTCTGATCTAAATTGTCTAGGGTGGGGCCCCTTAGCAACAGGATTTTTTTAAAAAGCATTCCAGGGGATCTGAAATAGCAGCCAGGGTTGAAACCATACCCTGGAAACTGCCAATAAAAATCAACTATTCTTGGGGGCACCTGGGTGGCTCTGACGGTTGAGCCTCCAACTCGATCTCAGCTCAGGTCTTGATCTCAGGGTGGTGAGTTCAAGCCCCGGGATGGGCTCCACTCTGGGCGTGGGGAGGGGGGGCGGTTCAACTGTTCTTTCTCTTCAAGAGAATGCACTTCCACTGCATTCTGGAATTCCCAAAATGTGTACAGAGGAGAAGCCATGTTGAGGCTTTTACCAGAGGACTGGGTGTCCACAGATTCCACCCCAAGCAGCCCTTTCCAGGTACCTGCAGAAGTGGCTGCAACCCGCTAGGCTGGGCGATTCTTTTTCTCCTGACAGAGCTGCAAGGGGGCAGGACAGGAAGTTGAGTCCCTGCTGGGCCCTCAGGTCTGCGGTGAAGTGCTGTCTCCACAGGAATACCCAGATCAAAGAGAGCCTGAAGCTAGCACCACCTTCTCCCACAGACGTCCAAAGAGAGCCACCCACCCTTAGCTCGACACCCACCTTCTCGCCTCTCTACTCCCGGCCTCCCTACCCTCCCCCACCCCCCCATCAAACACCCAGGAGGGCTCCTTTAAGCGCTGGTTTGCAAGGAAAAGGCTCAGTGGGTATTTCGGCAGAGGAATTAACCCGAATCTGCAAGGCAGCCTGCCTATCCCTGGGTGACTCTCTCCCTACACCAAGGCGACACCCGCCGCCTGCCGCAGTCCTGCCTCGGCACTCCCTCACCTTAACACAGACCCCAGGAAACTACAGGGACTGGCGGGGGACTGCGGGGACGCGAAGCACCCGCCGCTGGGGCTGGAGACCGGGCATCTTGGGGTTGCGGGAGGTGGGCGGGGCCAGCGTGTTACTCTTGTAGTTGGTCAGGGTTTCTTGAATACCCTCGAAGCTTACTTTGTGCCCCAAGACCCCAACATCCATCCACGCCTCCCTGCTGACCCGAACCAAGAGGAACTTCTTCACCTCTGCCCCCAAATCCCTCCCCACTGGGGGGGAAAAAAAAGTCATCGGATACTCTGCGTATAAATAGAAAATAATTACTAGTGAGGTGGTAAGGTTCCTTCGCCTATTTTTGGTGGGTCTCTTTGTTCAGATTTTTTAGGCAGGCGCACGGAGCGCGTGCATCCACACGCGCACACATGGGCCCCCGCCGGAGGTGTGGGGAGGGTGTGTGTCGGTGTGTAGGGGGTGGGACACATGGCGACCCCGTTGCCCACACTCGGAAAGAAGATCGAGCTTGCGCCCAGCCCTCCAGCTGTTGGAAGACTTTCTGTCGCTCTTCAACCCCGCCCGCCCAAACCTCACGCCAACCCTGGCCTCTGTCGGGTCTGGGGGCTGCGTCCCCGTGGCGGTGTCCTCCGCCTCCAAAGTTGTGCGAATCAATTTAGACACTTTTTAAAAAAGCAAAAGGCAAATAGCTCCATTAATCCCCAAATGCCTTCTCCCATCTGCTGCGACTTGCTCGCGCTGGGACTTGCATAATGAATAAGGCAACCGGGAAAGTTGACGAATCAGGGTGTTGGGGGGCGGCGGGGGGAGGGGGTTGGTGAGCCGGGCTCCGGCCCTTGTAGTCCACGCTAACCCCGGCAAGGGGCTCAGCGCGCAGCTGAGGCCGCGGCCCCCAACAAGGAGAGGTGGTGACGGGAGAAACGGGTGAGGGTTTTGGGCGGGGGGAGGCAACCGAGGTCCCAACTGCAGGGACCTGGCAGCTCAGGGAGAGCGAGGCGGCCGCTCCAGGCAAGGCTTTTGTTCTCGCCCTCCCCTCTCTTTCCACCTCCCTCGCCTCTTTTTCGCGAGCCGTACGAGTTGCAGGCGGCACACACACCTTCCCTCCCTCACACACGCGCGCGCGGGCTAACACACGCCTCCCTTCCCTCTCGAGCTCGCCTGCTCTGTTTACCTAGAGGCTAGGATGCGGAATCCGAGCGGGGGACCCCTCCCCAAAACCCAAGACTTCGGGGCCACAGGCTCCCGGGCTGTGTGTCTCAGATCCGCTTCAATCCTAAGCGGGAGGGGGCGGCGAGAGGGTGAAGGGGGCAGAGACCCCCCCGACACACACACATACACACGCGCAAATCCACACCTGTGCGCAGCCCAGCGCCCCCTCTCCGCGCTCCCAGCCGAAGTTGGCTTTCCCGGGCGACCTCCCCCAGCGGAAACGCGGGGGATGGGGGGGGAGTGCCAACGCCGGGGAAAAGGTGAAGAGGGAAGAGCAGGGAGAGCGGCGCCCGGAGGGGAGGCGGAGGGGGGAGGCAGCCCACCTGGACATGTGTTCCCTTTGGGGCCGGTGCGCTTTCTCCAGCCCCAGCTTGGTGAAGATGCCTACAAGCACCATGACGGCCACCACCCCGCAGATGATGTAAACGATCAGGTTGGTCTTGTCCTTGGTGGGGTCGTGCAGGGGGTCGTCCTTGCGCGCGGGGGGCTTGCCGGTGTTGAGCCACAGCGGAGTGTCGTAGTTGGTGCAGGTGCTCTGGTTCAGTCGCCGCTTCTTAAACGTGCAGCAGAACCGGAAGCCACAAGTCCCGCAGCAGAAGATGAAGTCGCCCGAGCTGCAGTTGAACGGCGGGTCCCACTGGCCCATGACATCGAAGTAGCCCCTGCAGAAGTCCGGCGTGGGCGCCCGGGTCGGCGGAGCGTCCGAGACCCCCGCGCCCTCGCCGGCCTCTCCGGAGGCGGCCCCGGAGCGGTTGCCCCCCGCCAGCACTACCACGCCGCCCAGCTGCGCCAGCTGCCCGTGCCCCGCTCGCTCCTGCGCCCGGCACACGCGGGCGCACAGCTCGGTGAGAAAGCAGCCGAGGAGCAGCCGGAGAACGCGGCGCATCGTGTCTCCCAGCCCGGGCTCGGCCGCTCGGCCGCCGCTGGAGCCGCTGCAGCCGCCTCTCGAGGCGCGGCCGAAGCTGCCGAGGCTGCTGCCGGGGGCTGCGAGCCGCCGCGGGCCGCACATGCAGGGAGCGGCGCGGGGCGCTCGGTGGTCGGCGGCCACTGCGCTCGGCTCAGCCCGCGTTCGCCTCCAGCGCGCCGCGCGCCGAGGGGCCGGCCGGGGAGGAGCGCGCCTGGCCGGGAGGGGGGAGGATGAGCGGGGGCAAGCGCCGGGTGCAGGTCCGGCCGGCTACTGGGAGAGGCGGGGGCTGGCGAGCAGGGGAGAGTCGATCTGTTCGCGCTTCCCCTCCGCCGGCGGCTCCGGACTAGCCGCCCCGCGCCCGCTCGCAGGATCCTTCTCACCTCTCCAGCTCGCCAAGTGCGCTGGAGAGAGCGAAGCAACACTTGTGGAATGAAGGGAGGGCAGGAGGGAAGGGGGAGGGGAGGAGGGCGGGCAGAGGAGGGGGGTGGAACGGGCGCGAGCTCGAGAGGGGCGGGGGCGCGGAAGAGGTGACTCGGGCGGGCGGGAGCGAGTTGGGGGGCGTGCAGAGCTGAGCTAGGCTGGCGGGCGGGGAGGAGGGAGCTTCTTCGGCAGCCGCCAGGGCTGAAGGCACCGCTCGGGTTTCCCGGCAGGTGGAGGACCGCTGCGGGACCTCCCGCGCCCTCTCTGGGCGGGAGGCGCGGCTCAGACCTGTTCTGGGTGCAGAGGCGGCTCCGCCCGTGGCTTTTTCAGGCGTGCGTGCGCAGGAGCTGCGGCTCGAAAATGCCCTCCAGGGAAAGGGTGACTCGGAGGGGATAAGGACAGACTAAGTGGCTTCCACTCCAAGGCAGACGGGGGCACAGTCTGATCAGGCTCGCCCTTTCCAGGTGCACCGGACCACCTCGCCCTTCCCCCGACTGCGCCCTCTAGCCAGGCGCGCCTCCCGGATGGTTCAACTCCCTGGGAGGAGCCGAGGACCAAGGCTGAGCTGAGAAGGCGGGGTGGCAAGCAACTGGGCCCGGGTTAGGCACCCCCGGGAGAGGGCCGTGGGACGAACTATAGTCAAAGAAGCGCAGGGGGTAGGGAGGGGGCAGCAGACAAGGCCAAGACAGTGGCACGTCCCACGTCCCGGAATGTCTTTCCTTGGGACTCTCCTAGGCCCCTGGACCTGCCACTTTCTGTCCCTCTACGACCTCGCAGCGTTCCCTGCGTTCCACAGGAGGGCACACCGCGGCGCCGCCTCTGCGCGCCCAGATCTGGTGCAGCGCAAGGCCTGGGCGCCCAGCCTCAGCCACCCTCCCGCACCTGGAGCCCGCGCGTGGGTCTCCGAAGCCGGCTAGCCCCTGTGCTCACCGAACCCCCTCCCCACCCCCCAGACATCCTCACCCAGTGCTGCGGAGTCCGGCCTTGGGCCCTCGCCTTCCAGCCTCCGGTCGCGTGTCAGCAATTTCCAAATCGGCCTTTTCCACTCAGCCGATTCCAGTCATCCGTCGGCCCTCTCCCATTTCTCCCACTTCTTCTTCCCTCTGCTTGAATTTGACTCCAGTAGCCCCCAAAACGGGATGTGCACCAAAGCTGCTACACCGAATTTAGATCTCCACACGCCCCTGCGTTTTGTTTTTAATTGCATTAACTAAGTATACACTTTGCAGTCGGCTAGGCGATTTGCAGGGAAATGATGTCTCCACCACAATCCCCTCCATAGGGCTGCAGTCGGGGGCTTCTCCGGGCGTTTTCAAAGCCCCAAAATGTTGGGCCACAAACAAAATGACATCCTGGGTCCCCTTAATTGAAAAAGCATGGAGCGTGGGTGTTGGACTCTACTGCAAGTTTTCTCAGGATGAGAAGGAGTTTGGATAATTGTGCCTTCTCTTTGATGAATGTCACCTGTCTTCCCAAAGACGAGCCAAGAATGACCCTGTTCTAGCAAAAACACCAGGCCAACACTGATGGAGCATATCCAGGAGTATACCAGCCCTAGAAGATTCATTGAATTGCGGGCTGTATTTTGTCCCAAACCCACCTGGACAAGGTATGAAATTGTTTAGTCTAAATTCATCAGCTCCATCATAACGGGATCCCCAAAATAGGATAGTGTGGCGCGTCTGTCGACCCACACCCACCACCACTGTGTGAGTCTCTACAAACACAAGCATTGGTGTGTGAGAGCTAATGATAGCTGACATTTATTCAGTGCTTGCAACATGCCCACTAAGCTTGTCTTTTCTAAAATCACCTCCTCACAGATGCTTAGAGCAGTGCCTAGCATCTAGCAGACAATCTGGGAATATTTGCTAAAACATTTGAGGGACTGATCTCATTTAACTCTATCTGCTAGATAATATAACCAGGCCCACACAACAGAGGAAGAGACTGAGGCCCAAAGCAATTAAACCAGTTTCCCATAGTAGCACAGGGGGGAAGTGCCTCCCTTGGCTTTTGACCCAAGAAATTTGACTCCTGAGCCTGTGTTCTAACCACTGCAGGTAGTGCCTTCCTAAAATAGGCCTCCAGACTCCCTATCCACCTGATGTTATATGTTTGGTTTGTCTCCCCACATTGAAATGGTAAACTCCAGGGCAGAAAGAGGCCTTGACTCCTGCAGTCTCCCAGCACCTACAGCAGCGTTGGATGTGAGAAGCACTCAAAAACTATTTACAGTCGGCTTTGATTAACTTGTTAAGATCTTTAACGCAAGACCCTTGGTGTTAACCCAAGAGAGGAAAGGGACAGACAATGGAGTTTCTGCTGTGGGGACCTTGCAGAGGGGTTGGGATATTTCTATGCACTAAATTAGAATCCGGGAGGGCTACTCCAGCAGGCTTGCCAAGGTCCAGGAAGCTGAGGCTCAGAGAGGTTAAAGGGCTTTGTCCAAGGTCAAGTGGCCAGCAAATGGGAAAGCCAGGGCTAGATGCAGACTGCCAGACTTCTAATCTCTGCTTTCTTGCCTTCCCACCCCGCTGCACCCCACTGAGGTACCTCGCAGCCAGCATCAGGGCTGGGAGCTTAAGGCAACAACCTGATAGCAGAGTAGGTCACAGACTCCTTCCCCCAAGAGCTGGGGGTTTTCAGACACTTCTAAATTTAATGGGAAAAAAGAAAAAAAAATCTTAGCGAAAAGAGACAAAATCTAGACAGAAAAGTCCATTTTAGAATCTGCCTCCAATCTCCATAAAGTATTGCCTGTCACCAGGACATCTGAGTCCGGTCCTCAGAGGAGCCGCACTCTGGCCGCGCTTCCCGGCTTTAATTAACAGAGACTGCCCCCTGTTTGTGACAAGGAGAGTGCAGGGATCCTGCTTGGGAAAGAAGCCGACCTGATCTTACCCCCTCATGGCTTATTTGCCAGATCCCAAACCTTAAGCCTGCTATTGCCCCCCCACCGCCCCCTGCCCTGAATTTCACCCAAACCAAATTCCCTTGCTGCACCTGCCTGCCAAGGCTGCCTCTGCACCTCTGGAATATTGTCCACACCTGTTTCCCAAGCCTTTGAAAAACATGAGGGAAGAACCGTCTAGGTTCATTTTACTCTTTGAAGGAAGAAAGTCCCTTTTTTTTTAAGATTTTATTTATTTGAGAGAGAGAGAGCGAGAGCACGCATGAGGAGGGGGAGAGGGAGAAGCAGATTCCCCACTGAGCAGGGAGCCCAAGGTCATGACCTGAGCTGAAGGCAGATGCTCAACCGACTGAGCCACCCAGGCGCCCCGGAAGAAAGTCCCTTTCCTCTGGGTATGTCAACTCAATCAATAGAGTCACTACCTGCTAATAGATGTGTGGTTATTGAGAACATGCCCCCATTCAGAACACATGATTGAGAACGTATTTCTTTCAGGGCTCCTGAGGGGGAGAAGGGGTTTTATAAACTTCCTAATTGAAACACCTGGCAAGTTCATGGAAGATGAAAAATCATCAACTACCACCCCCCACCACTAGCCAAATGAATTCATGCAAATGTGTTGAAATTAAAATGCAGCTCTTAATGAAAATACTTTCTATGAAAGAGATGATGACATTATTATTTACAGTACAGGCACTTTTAATATCTAAAGAAGAATCTCGTTCTCTCTAGGCTTAATTATGTCAGATGGCAGTATGGTTTGCAACAAGACCAAAATCTGTACTCCCCAACAATTAGGGGAGGGAACAACGTTACAAAGAATGTTTACTTACCAGGACTTGCAACCAGGGTCCATCAGCAAGTCAGCAAATTAGATTATGTGTGCCGTGGCCCTCAATGGAAGTTGTTTGTTAATAAGCCATCAGATAGCTTTTAGGGTTTCAAAAAGGTTTCTTAGCAACTGTTAGCCCTGAGGAAGAAAAAAAAAAAGAGAGAGAGAGAGAGAGATGACACAGAAGCTTTTGGTTTGAAACCTAAGGAGCTACATGGGTGAAAATCGAAACTGGACCCCCCCCCAGACCAAGGTCAAGGAGAGACCAAAGAAAAGAGGCAGACCTCTCCAGAAAGGTAAGTAGGAGGGGTAATAAGCAAGGGAACTTAACAAGGCTTGTCCTGAGCCCGCCACTGACAAGGGGATCTCTGCACCTGCCCGCCAGAATCTTAAAAAGTTTCTATTATATAGAGGTTTCGATGGGGGTCAGTAGTATATGGTCCAGATGGTCCTAACAGCACTTTGCTCTCTCAAGGCCACATCCTTGAAATAGACTCCTAGTGCCAGAATAGTGGGTGGAATATACATCTGAGGACAGGGGAGGGGGAAGGAGTTTCTGCCCACCTGCAGCCCCCCAGGGGTCAGCCGGAGGTCATGTCCCCTCCATGACTTCCTCCAACAGAAGCCAAAATGGGGCTAGTCCCTTGCCATGCTCAAGCAACACCCTGATTTGATATATTTTATTCTCTTATTCTGAAAAGATAAAGGATCCCTTATGGAAGAAGTCAAGTGGGTGTGAAGTATGATTTCCCCAGACTGCAAGAGGTATGTGAGATGATTTTTGGTTTTACCCCCAAAGATTTTTTTAATAGT